TATATTTATATATAAGATTATATATTCCATGGAACTCCTTGCCAGTTTTGTTGTTAAAGCTGAAAACTTAGTAGAAAACTACTAAAACAACTGAACTTGCTTATAAATAAGGAGAAGAAAAGTTGTGGTAGAAAAGTTTGCAGCAATTCAGGATAAATATAAACCCTTTGAATTGACCTTTGGCTGGTAGGGACTGGGAAGAAACTTCGTCACTGGCAGGCCATTATATTATTCCTGTGGTCTGTGGTCAGCTGGGGTAGCGGTCCCCAGGGACTGCTGTTATGAGTTCTGCAATTTCTGTGGCTCCCAGGCGCTGGTGAATTGTCACAAGTGTCTGAGCATCTTTGAGCAGTGAGAAATCCGCAGCTCCCCGGAACCAAACCTCCACCACTGAGGTCTGAAGCATGAGCAGTACCCAATGTGTAGGGCAGGGCAGACACTGAATTTAAAAATCAGTTCCCTGGAGAGATCATCTGATGCTCTCAGAGCCACCTTTTGTGGGAGTGACTTTCTTGCGGAAGTTTTCTCCCCTTATTGAGGTTATTTGTTGTTACTTTACTTTTCTTTCCATTTTGCAAATAAATGAAAGGGAGGAATAATGGGATATTTATGTTTTCTTTTTCCCCCTCTTCCCTCCACCCCCAGTAAAGCCAGGATTCAAGGGACTGATTAATTTTTTTTTTATTAATTTTTGAAGATGTTGTTAGTGGAGTTCTCTCACTCTTCCTCAGGTCTTAAGTTCAGGAGGCTTTTGGTTTTTTTTTTTTTTAATGCTAAATTTATTAAGTTCCTTTCATTTGTTTTCTCCCTGCCACCCCTGGTTACTGTTAAGTGTCTTAATTACAAAAAAAACCCCCACCAAACAAAAAACCCAACCCAAAGCCCTAAAATTCTAGTAATTTATTTGTTTTTAAGAAAAAAGCAGAGGGGGGAGGAGAAGATACTGTTAGCAAATACACCACAGAAGGGAAACTGCTGCATTTTTTTAGTTACCTGACAGCCTGTATTGCTTTTGTTAAAAACATTCTGTATGGGCATATTGAACGGGCAGTCTTCAAATGCAAGCACTGAATGAAATACCTAATTTGTTGCTGAATTACTGTTATTACAAACAATTCTAATAACTCTTACTGCAAAATAGATTTTCCCATGATAAAACCTTTTCAATCACTTAGCAAAGCTGTTATACATACTCTTTTGGCAAAACAGTAGAAACAAAATGTCATTGAACAAGAGGAGAGCAAGAGCATGTGCTGCTTTGTCTTCATATTCCCATTGACTTTTTCAGTTTATCAACTTCTCTGCTTCGATTTTGTTATATTGGAGGCCACAGTTGGCATTTAGGTTTCTTTGTTGAACAAGCAATTTCATCACTTTATAACATGCACATCAATTTTTTGATCTGTATGTAATGGTAGAAAGCAAAATCATAAATTACTTGAAAATCTGATTTCTGAAGGGAATAATGTTTATGTAGGTTACTTTGTTTTGTCGTGACTCCCTGTCTCCTCCTCACCAACCCTGCTACTGACTTTGATCCCAATTTTGCACAGCTGCACTTCCTTTGAAGATGTGTTTTCAAAGACTTCATGAAACTTGATGGCTGTTTAGAGGAGCGAGACCCGAGTTAATGCCTGCACAGAGAAAAAGGCAGAAGCACAGACTCAAGTCCTGTCTCATTTGTGTTTCATCTGCCAGTAAACTTACAGCATGTGTGGCTGGGGGTGTGCGTGCGTGTAGGGGACACTTGCATACATCCATCACACGTCTATAGAAAACACAGGCTTATTGCTTCTGCCACTCAAGAAACAAGATATAATTTTGGTGATGACGTTGTTATGAAGCACTAAAGTTGGGTTTGGGCAGGAGCCCAGAATCAAGATCGGACTGGATTTTTTGAAATTTAGAATATTAAATTTATTGTTGAACTTTGAAGAACTGAGGAAAGTGTACATACATAAAAAAATCAACTAAAAAAAAAAAAAAAGATGTTACTAGCTGCATGTAAGCCTAATGGTTCACAAGCTGTAAAGCCACTAAAAGAGGTAGTAAATAGCCACAAGCCCAGGACTGGTGATGTTAGAACCTTTCCCTTACTTTGTCTTGAAACAGGAGCTAAATTATGGTATAGGTATCATGCCATTTGTTATTGATATAATGGCATCCTTTGCAGTTTTTTTGTTCATGTCTAGCCACTTCCTCTCCATGCTGCCTTATCTTGTGCTTCAGTGGCCATATGTATTTCATTATAAGGCAAAACTGAATCACAGATCCAAGTAACAAGTGTTGCAAAAGTATTCCTACAATTTTTGTAGATGTCTGGTGGTGAGGGAAGTCCGCCTTGGTTCCCTCCTATCTGCCTCCATTCCCTCCAGGAGAACCCAGAGAGACCAACTTCTCTGGCTTTCACCATTGCTGGTCTCTAGAAAATTGGATATAATTGGATATATATATCTCTCCTCTCTGAGATACATATAGGTATATGTATCTCCTCTCTGCTATTGGATATAATGCTGCAGTGCACCTATATTAAGTAACCAATATCAAATTTGGCATAGCAGAGAGGATCACTTAATTTTTGGCGATTTTCACCTCGCCCTTTCAACAGCTCTTCTCTCTCTGGATTGTTTTTGTCTTGGAGTAACTGCTGAAGCCACTGGGGATCACAGGATTCCAGACATATGTTACGGGTGTTGTAAAGATAGGGGAGAATGGGACGACTTTATTATAAAGAATTAGTCTAATTAAGAGAATGTCCAAGGGTCAAAAGTGTTGCAGACAAAGGCAGATGGACTGGCTGGCTCTGATTTGATTCTTCTGTTTAATGCCCCAAGTCCCTGAGTCTCCAAGCCAGCTGGGTTGGAATGAGTAGGAAAGCAGAATATTTCATGTTTCTCAGCAGTGATTTATTTGTAGAGGTGAAACCAGGGAATTTCCCTCTGTGTGAAACTATCTGCTCGTTGGCTTCAAACGTTCAATAAGTTCTCCTCCAAGGAATGTTTGTCCCCTTGAGACAGATCAATGAGCATGTACAGATTATAAGTAACCTTTTGCTTTAGCTTGCCCTGTGCATAGTGTCCTGCTGTTGACTCAGTGCCTTGGTTACTGGTCATTAGTGCAGCAGTCTCCCCCCTCCATTAATTTCACAAATCAGTTTGTCTCCTGTGGCCAGGGGAGAAAGCGGATGGGGAGGAAGAGGACTTCTAATGCAAGATGTATTGGCAAACCCTGTGGCTGAATAGAACATAGTTTGGAAGGGCCTTCTGAAAAGCTGTTTGCATGGGGAAGCATTAGTAGACAAAATGTGATTGTGCAGATGTGTGTATAGGAGAAAATTAGGATAAAGTGAAAGATCTTAGTTGTGACTGAAGCAGACATGTACGTGATGCAGCCTTTCTATCAGTAGTAATTATTTCATTCTTCATGGTGAAATAATGGCCGCAGTTTTAAATTTAACCCTGATTTTCAAAAGTGCAATCATACGTGGCATTGATTGCATTTGACTAATGAAAAGCTTTAGCTTTGTAAGTCTGGGCTGTGGGGCAGTGTACTTGGTACTAGCTTGACAGCTTAAATTTGGAGGCTGTAGGAGCAATAGTACACACTGCAAAAACATGTTTGCCTCAGGGTAGTGACTTGCTTTTTTGGTACTTTAATGTTGCTATTTAAGATAGCCAGGGACTTGCTTGACAGAATAAGGGGGATGCACATCTTTGTTTAGAAAGAGAGAGGTATAAATGGGAGTGGGGGGGATCAGTAGTCTTCAGAGCCACCCGATGGAGGAAGCCTTCTTGTGGCATTGAAGAAACAGCAAGTATGAGGTGGTGTGACTCCAGAGAGCCCAAAAAAGAGACTGACTTGGTTTGTTTTCAATTTCATTTCTACTTTAAATAGATATTATAGTAAATGGTCATTTGTTCCTGTTTTTCCAGTTGAAGATGTATTTTGCTTCTTTAACAGGGCAAAAAGGACGTTTCCCAGATATTTAACAACATCTTGAGAAGACAAATTGGCACACGCAGCCCTACCGTGGAATACATTAGTGCCCATCCACATATCCTATTCATGCTTCTAAAAGGGTGGGTGCTTTAATTTGATTTTCATTAAAGAGCATTGCCTGGAACATGCTGGCATTGCAGTTGATCGACTTTCTCACTTTTAGTTTTAAAAAAAAAAAAAAAAGGATTTTCAGATTTTGTTCCAGATTTCTTATTTTGTTTCTTTCATATTGACTTTCTTTCTTCTTAACTGTATACTTTTTAAGGACTGGATTATTTTATTTGGCCGTTATTTCTTCATCAAACTTCATGTTGGAATAAGTATGTGCTGATTGTTTTTGACTGCTCCCCACATGATCTGTACTTCAGTTCTTGCCCTAAACTCTTGTGTAGCTTTGTTGATGACTGCTGAGTTTAATTTAGACTTTTTTGCATTGCAGGAGTGACTTATAGTGGTGTCTGTAAATAACTGGAGTCAAATGCTGGACCACCATGCGGTAGAACAGAGAGAAGCAAAAATGCATAAAAAGAATAGCTGTGTCTGTGGGGCATGCTTGTAGCCACATGTGAACTTCACCTTTAAATTAATTCAGTAATGAACTCCATGATTTTCAGCATTAAAACTTCTTTTTTTTTTTTTTTGGTCTTTTAACCTTTGAGGGAGTCAGTGGTCAGCTGTAACCCAGTGGTTCCCAAGGTAAGTTGGCCAAGGAGCGGGAGTAGACTGCTGTGTAGAGAGGACATCAGCTGCAGTTGCATTCAGGAGTGCACGAGTGCTGGCCTAAAACTCTTGAGGTTTCTGTCCCCTTTACTTTTGGCCAAAAGCACCATCCATTCAGCGAGAAGCTTTGCTTTTCCAACCCTTGAAGTCTACTGTTTTCTGCTCAGTTTTCTGTGGTTTTCTAAACCACAGAAGCCAAAGAAGCCAAAACTTCAGGATTTTTTATTTTTCCCCTAAGGAAAGCAGAATATATGTGATTGAGATTAAAGAACTGATGTAGAAATAAGTGCATTTATTAGCTGATCAGTATGCAACAACGTGGACTCTCATAGTAGTTGTTTGGTCAGACTAGCAACAGCCATTCAAAAACATGACATAAGCCTTTTAAACTAATGGTTCTTAAGAGAGTAAATTTTTTTAGATGCCTGTCTTGCTCTTGAGGCTTAAGATTTGCATTTTTACCATTTGCTCCACAGCCAGAGTTCAGAAAATACTTAGGCACCATCTAAGGTCTGTGCATGACAAGGCTGCAGCCCTAACAGTAAAATTCCCTTCAGCGTCCCCCCTCTCCCAGGAGCAGACCCGAGCAGGAGACGGATAGGCACGGGAGTTCTCTAAAATAGTTATTTCTTTCAAAATTGGCCACACTTCAGCACAGCTGAGCAGGGAAAAAAGTAACCAAGAGAACTAGTCAGTACCAGGGATTTCAAGAACTGTGAGCTTGTGGTTGAACGTGGTGGCAAAGCTCTTGGTTGCTGTGTTAGGAGGTGTGGACTCGCTGCCTTCCTCGCAGGCAGGGTGGTGGGGAGCCCGGGCAGGTGGCTGGGCTGAGCTAGGTCTTGCTCTTACAAGTACAGTGATTTGTTGTGATTTAGCTTTAGTTTTTTGAAACTCTTGACTTGTTTTGTGTTGCTAAATACCAGCTTCCTCAGAGAGGAAACCAGTAAACTAGTTAAATGGATTTTGGTTTCATTTGTACATTAAAATTCACCATTTATATAAACCTCAAACTAGTTGTTTCAGGACAGTGATGATAATTCTCTCAGTCATTGTTAAGTTGTACAACTGTTTTCAATTTCATATATAGACAGAATAATTTTCTTCCCTCTTCTCTGTCTTTGCTTTTGTGATTTCCTCCTCACTTTTTCACTCATTTTGTTTTTGCGAGTTGCGCATGTATCGCTACCATATGTCTGGGGCTTTAAATAAAGTTAAAAAATATTTTTGGATCATGTCCCAGATATTCTTTGGCACCTGTAACAAGCAAGAATATTAAGATGATAGTAAAGATTTTATGTTATGCATAGGTACTGCTGACAGACATTTTAGTGTAGGTGACGTGAGCCAGTGGGTGTATTTAAATGGTATCACTTAGGTGCTTTTTTGGAGATTGCTGGGTGCAGCAGCGTGTCCATGTTAGTTTGGTCCTCAGGCTCCTCGTTCTTGATTTCTTGGCTATGTCTCTGCAGCACTGCCCTGTGTCAGAATTGCTATTTCTGGAGTTTCTCGTTAGAAAGTGCTGTTGAATTCATCAGCAGCAGTCCAGAAGACGTATCCAGCCCTGACGGTATTGGAGCAGCTGCTGCAGAACAGCGTAATGATGTCAAATGCAATGCTGTCTTACCTGCCTATGTCCTGCTGCCAGGACTGTCTAAAAAAGATACTTAAATACATGCCTAAAGCAAGGGTAGGGCCCCAAACTTGCGGCTTGCTGTGTGCAGGCGGAGTGTAGTGCTCGCGTGCAATCAGCTATGAGACTGGGAAACATGCACCTCATGTTAGGCACCACCACTTGAAAACGTGACTTGAGGATGAAGTTAAATGAAATATATGATATCAAAATCTGCTTAAAGGAAAGGAGAGTGGATTTGGCTGGCTTGTACCATTCAGTGTTTGTTATATGACATTATTTGGAGAGAAAAAAAAAATTTCAACCATGACTATAAAACAAACAGCCCGGGACTATTGTGAAGGCTTGTCATTGTTTTACTTGTGTTGGATGCAAAATTTCCCAACAGCATCAACAAAAGGTTGATTTTTTCATTGCATAATGTGACCTCTGTTGAGTGGGAAGGATCCTGAATCAGAGCTCCCGCCCAGTGTTTCCTGCCTAATACTCCAGCAGCACTGCCAGCTTGAGATAACTGTTCTTACATTTTAGGCTTCGTTTTACTTGTTGGCTACTTCCTTCCAGCTTCTCAGCTTCAGAAAAACATACAGCACATAGTTCACTGCTTCTTTTTTTCTTTTTTTTTGTAGGTTAATTGACCTTCCTGCTGCATGAGCACTTGCTTTAATAGTATCTTATTTTTTGTGTGTGCATGCTTTGTGTATGAATAGGATTTCAGACTAATACAATGTTTGGTGTATATATTTGGACCAAATTTTTCTCCGGTGTCAGCATATTGCATTAGCCCAGAAATAACTTTGGTCTTTTGTAATTTAAAATATTTTCCCTCTAGTACCATGACTGTAAAGGACTTGAAGTTTGTGGCACTTGCATTGTTTCTCACAAGGGACAAATTTGTAAGCTCCTTTGTGAATATATATTATGCTACATGCTATTTAATGCACTCAGTCACTGCCCCAATCTGTTTTGTGATGATCTCTTCATATCACAGTGCAGTTAAAGGTTTAATGGTATATTGGCTAAAGTTGCAGAATTCCACTTGAGTTTATCCAAGGATAAACTCCTCATCCAAGGATAGACTCGGGCTATAGAAGTTAGTGCTGTTTGTCAAGACCTCATGTCTCCCAGGCTCGATGCCTTCCTAATCTCCTGCCTGTGCTCCTTACCTTGTACTGTCTTCTGCACTAGCCACACAAGTATGATTCCCTTTGCGCTGAGATGCATCTCTGCTCTCAGTCTTGCCTCTTTCAGCCTCCACAATAAGTATTTTGATATATTTCAAGTCCATTATTTCCTTTTCTGGTTGCCCCTGGTAGTCAGTATATGGGAGTTTCTTTAGGTTGTAAGTTCATCCAAACAGAGAAGAACTCTATATTTTTTTCTGCTGCAGGGGTATGTCAGCATAGAGCACTAATTACTCATTAGAAGTTATTTTGAAGCACATCTTTATCATTCCTGCCTGGTGGCTTTGCATGTAAATGTGGGTGCAGAGAACATGCCAGCTATGACCAGGCAGCCTGTAAACTTCTTCCAGGCATATTCCAGGAGCCAAACCCAACTTCCCTCGCTTATGTGAACAGCCAAAGGTCCATAACCCACTTCCAGATAATGGAGCATTTGACTAAGAATGATTCTGTTGATACTTGTGTTATAAAGTTATTGTGCTGGAAACAATGTAATTTGCTTTTACTCCAACCAAAATATTCCGTAGCCAACTATTAAATATTTTCCTGGCTGCACTCCTAGGAGCAACCCCGCCTCTTTTTGCTTGAAAATTAGTATTCCTGTTAATGGAGTCAAGGAGAGGTGCGCCTCAATGGAAAACATCAGCGAATCTCTGTTGTCTAAAGAGTTATAAATACATGTTTGCAAATGTTTCCCAAAAGGAAACAAACAGGGGCTTGAGTGCCTGCATTTCCTTGAGGGTGGGAAGTTTCATTTGCCTGTTTGGAATAGCAATTCATTTTTCATTAAGCCAACTATTGTTGACATCAGGTTGAAGTATGCAGCTCTGGTATGCTCGCAAAACACCACCATTCTTTTAAATTGCAAGCTGGTGGTAAATTTGAGGGCCCACTCACTTACAGCACAGATGGCATTTTGTGGTTTTCTTTTTTCTTTTTTTTTTTTTCTTTCTCTTTTGGCCTAGTGATAGGAATTAATTGTGCAAAGGAAAAACGATGCTGATAAGCTCTGGGTGATAATACACAGTTCTGATATAGTATAACCAGCTTATTGAAACAGTGTGCTTTCTGTCCCCTTGGACTTCACTGCTTTCACATGACTGAAGATTACTGGAAGAAGTTCATTTTAAGTCCTTCCTGACTGCTGGATTTCATCCTTCCTTTTTTTTTTTTTGTTTTAAATTGTGTTTCTAACAGCTTTGTTTCAGATTAATTTTGGCTTTAAAGAAATCAAGACTTTATAGATATAGAAGATGATCTGAATTGCCTCCCCCCTCCCTCCCTCTCCAAGATGGAGAAGTGTGCTGGCTCCTGGCTATTGCAACGCATGTGCCATGACAGAACTGTAACTTGAGGAATGAATACTTGTCTCCTGAACAATGTCATAACCTCTGCAGAGGAGGGATTGAGCAGAATTCCTCCTAAACTGCAGAAAAGATCTTCAGAGCTACAGAAAGCTTAATCCTGTGTAGACTGCTTGGATAGACTCTTCTTACCTTCCTTGTTAGACATTAATATTCTAGAGCGACGCTCTCTAGAAGAGGAGTGGGAGGTGATGGATGGTCATGAGGTGTTATATTTTTCTTGGATAAACTGAGGAGCTCAAAACTAGATCTGAAAATGGAGATTGTTGTATTGTATGGGTTTTGCTTTCTCATAAATCTAAAGGGGTGAAAGAGGTCTGTTGAAACGTTATGCGCTCCCCACAGTCTTTCCGCAGAGAGGAGGTGCAATGCACATTTACACCAAAATGTGTTTTGGCATGCGAAGGCAGAGGTTTGCAATGGGAAACACTGGCAGCCTTATCTGTGCGTTTGCTCCTTAGCTTTGGGCTGAGATCCTGAAGCTGGGTACAGTGCTCTGGCTGGGAGCTGCTGTCCGTGTGTTGTGTTCCCTCTGGCACACACGTTTCCTATGCTACAAAGTTCCCCATTGCTAGAAAAGTGCCTGTTTATCTTTGTTCTTCTATGTTTTGATCTTTTCTGTTTCTTTTCATTCTTCAGATATGAATCTCCAAATATTGCCTTACGCTGTGGAATTATGCTGAGAGAGTGTATCCGGCATGAACCACTGGCCAAAATCATACTTTTTTCGGAACAGTTCAGGGACTTTTTTAAATATGTGGAAATGTCAACATTTGATATAGCTTCTGATGCCTTTGCTACATTCAAGGTAAATTATTAGATACCTGTGTCATAGCATTGTGTCAAAAATGGCACTCCATCAGCAGTCATCACTGAATGTTGCGTTGCCTTTAAACTGGGAGGCTTTTTTATTGTTCAGTAAAGGGTATCATTAATTGTCGGCCTGTTTGTAACAGGATTCAGAACAGTGATCAAGTCTGCAAAGAATTTTTAATTCAATGCAGATTTACATTTCACTAATGTTCTTCATCTTGATAACCCAAGGCTTTTTATGGAACCATTTAAAACTCAAATTAATCATGTATTATGTATAGTTCTTGTAAAACGCATAACCTTTTTCTCTCCCTAACCTTCCCCTGGAAACAAAACCACTACCCATCATGACCACAACCAGTAAACAGAAAGAGTCATTTAAAATTCACTTTTAAAATCCTGTAATTTTTGCTGACCCTTCTGAGTTCGGCAGTCAAGTTTAGACTAATGCTGTGCCTGCTGATTATTTTACAACTTATTTGTATGCTCACTTTAGTGACCCACAGTTCAGTGTAATGACTGTACTGCTATGAGCTAAGTAGGTGAAAGCACCACGCACACTCTCTATAGAGTCTCTGTGTTGTATTAAAAATGAAGTTGGGTGAAGCTTGCCAAATGTCTTGGGAGTTTTTATGTGACCACCATCTTGCCTGCAAGGTGCTAGTATAGTCTTTGAGCAAAATTTGGTGCCTATGAGCTTAATGTACAGGGAAGATTTGTCTATTTCTGAAGAAAGCTGGGAAAAATTTTTTTCAGGTAAAGACTCTTCTAAATATAGACATAACTTCTTTTTTTTCTTCTATCACTGGGTTCCTTGCTGTCATAGAAACGCGTTGTTCATTCTTTCCTCTCAAAGCTAATTAGAAACATGATTAGATAGACCTTAGGAATAACTGTAAGGAATGTTAGAGTTCAGGTCAGTGATTCAATGCATACTGGAACCCTGCCTCAGTTTTTACTAACCTACTGAATGTGGTAAAGATTTACATAATAGAGACAACATTGCATTCGTCAGTTATGAGCTGAGTAAGATTACAAATTCAAACACCTGTTAATCGATAGCAGCATCTTTCAATTATTTTAAGTCACACTGTCATTGTGTTCATTAGGTAAATGTTATGAAAGTGGAATTAGCACAGAAATACAAACAAGTAAAAATACATGTGTAGGACTGTATAGAAATGCAACTGAAATATTTAAATTCTCTGTCTCTGGCATTTTACCCTGTGCTTGGAAGAGTATCATAGAATCATAGAATCATTTAGGTTGGAAAAGACCTTTAAGATAATCCAGTCCAACCATTAACATAACATTACCAAGTCCACACTAAACCAATTAAGGGTAGACTAGACTAAACCATGTACTTGTCAGAGTACTTGTCTCTGGTCAGAAAAAGTGCTCCTCGACTCTGTTCCCAGCTTGGCAGAAGAGATTTGCATCTTTTGCACAGGTCCTGCTTTGAGCATGACAGCAGAGTATGTGGTTGGTGATGGACAGTTTTCACCCTGACCAGGAGGCAGGATGGGGACAAGGGTCAGTTAAGCTGTGGCAAGGACCTCAGACTGCTGCAACCCTCCCAAAATAAGAGGTATTGATGTCGTTCACAGATCTACAGCTGTGGAACGAACTTCTGTCCCCTGTGATCCGAGTGTATTTTTAGCAGGATTTAAAAATAGGATTCCACATCCTCACGTGCACTGGAGAGGAGTATAAGGGCAGGTCATCCTCAGATGTAGGTCAGAAATCACCTTTTAAAATGCTTGGGGAAAATCTATAAACTGCATTTCTTTTTTAAACTGCCTCTTATTTTAAATTGCCTGACTTAATACATGGTCAGTTCTGGAAATAAACCAGCTGTTCATCTCACCTCCTATTTGTCTGTTACTCTGAATACCTGGAACAGCAAGAAGTGATGTGGAAGCAACTGAACCATGAAATATGGAGCTACCTCATTTCTAATACCGTAAAAATAAGTACTATGATCACTTGCTGGCTGGATTACTGAACTCATGTTTTCAGTTCTGTTTCCCCCGTGTTGGGTTTGTAGTGTTGCCACCAGGGTGTCTGGTTCGGAGCGGAAAGCCTTGGATAGTCTATGCACCAGAGGAGGGCTTAATTAAATGTGCATTAAAGTCTGAGGATATTTATAGTAGGGAAGCATTGGAATTTTTGATGATCTGGAGATGTACTTAATTAAATTCAGCCAGGTGCACTGCAGAGAGGAAACAGAGCTGCTAAAAATGCGGAGGAAAGCAGCTTGTATTTAGCAATACAGTCAGCTGTGGAGGGTGCCAGCAGCAGTTGGAAAGAGGGCTGATTGAATACTGCTGCTCCACGCTCTCTTGTGATTTTGTATGAAAAACTCATTTTGGATTATATTCCATTTGTGCCCCCTATTGAAAAATGTTGTACTTGCCTCTTAAGTGCCCTGCATAAAAGCTTGTGAATCACATTTGTCGCACTCAGCCTTTTAAACTGTTATCATTGCAGTCCTGCTAAATAAAGGAATGTATTAAAAACATGTACTGGATTTTATAGCACTCTGCTTCCCTCTTATAATTGATGGTAAAAATAAATTAAAGGATTCGTATGTAAAGGTTTTCTTTTATTTATGATGCTGTAGAGGATGTGTCTGTGCATCTGCTTCAGCTACTCATCAGCTTCAGTCTCTGACTGGGGGTAAGGAAACCAAGGAAAAGGTGATAAAAAAGATAGCAACTGATTCACTGAAAAAATATCAACTTGAATGGACTTCATCAGGCATTTACTGTGATCAGTGTTATGTTTTAAAGGAGGCAATAAGATAAAAATTAAACTTAAAAGCCTCAAACTGGCCACTTCATTTCATAGCTATTCATCCAGTAAAGAGACTTGATTTCTTCTGGAGCTGAACATTTGCATCTCTGTCGCTGAGCACCAGCGTTCCCATTCTGTGGGAGAGGTTGCTTTAATTTAAATTTGAATGACTTGGCCCTTTAGGATGGGATGCCCTCCCATGAAGCTTCAGCTGTCTTAAGAGTCTGCTACTGCTTGTGTCAGTAAGCCCACCCACCTTGGGCAGAAAACCAGCCACAGAAGAAATTCATCCCACCTACCTGAGACCCCTTTCTGGGGATGGAGTGGCTGTGGAGGGAGTCTGGATGGCTAGGTTAGATTGGTGCCTAACTTCTAGGTTTAAAATAAATAAATAAATGGTTGAATTGAGCCTGCCTTCTTGTATTCATTGGAGATGAGCAATAGCAATTGATCAAACTTAGCATAATTTTCCAGCTGTGGGGTAGCATGTAGATCACTTCTGGCTTTGGGACCATAGCTGATCCCTCCATAAAGGGTTAATTTACTTTCTTCCTTTCCCCCACCCCAGTTTATTGTAAGTACTGTGCACAATGACATTAAGAAAAGGTGGGAGTGAAAAGGAATATAAAGAGCAAGTGTTAGAATAGTTTTATATTGATTCTGTGAGCATTCACTGAATTCTCCTTAAAATCCTAATAAACACACAACATAGTATTGTTTTTAAATGCTTTCTGTCTATAGAAATCATGTTGCAAATACCTTCTAAAAGATGACCTGGTCAAAAATGCTAAAATATATTTGAGAATCAAGGGACAATCAAATGAGCATGCTCTCTCACGTAACCTTTCTCTGTTCTTCCCCAGGACCTGTTAACGCGACACAAATTGTTGGTAGCAGAATTTCTGGAACAAAATTATGATGCGGTAAGTGTAAATGATAGAACAGTTTTTTAAAAATCTGTTCATGCTTAGCTGGAAAAAGCGCACTTTCCGTAGCAGAGGGTTTCATGCTCCACATAAAATAGTCACATAGGACTGCAAAACTAAACATTGCTTTTACTAAAGCAGAATCCTTGTGTGGCATTTGAAATACAGGTACCCCCTCTGTGCACACACATGGGGACACGTGCCAAGGTTTCAGAAGCACTCATAGATTAAAAGCAAGTTTTGGTCCTCTGCATGCATTGTATCTCCTCATATGTGAATGGAACTGTCACCTTTGTATGTAAATAGATCATGGGGAAAAAAGTGTGCACATTTGTAAAGAGTTTTGTGATATTCCAGCACCGATAGGGCCATACTGGTGTAATATGTAATACTTTGGAACTGAGGAGAAGAGCTACTGGAAGAAGTTGTAGCATTTCTGGAAATTACAGGTACCTAACTGGGGGATTGAGGTGTGAGTATTCCTCTTACCATCCTAAGGCAATTAGTCCCTTGGTTTCCTGCCATTTTTCACTTTGAGTTTTTGGCTCAGTTTTGAACCAAATGCGGGTCAGAAAAGTTCCATTAGAATCAACTAAAATTGGACTGATACGGATCATGGAATTATACTGTGGGTTATGTTCTCATGTTACCTGAGGTATTCTTTATTTCATTGCCAAAGTGAAAAGACCAAAAACTATTTCTTTCATTCTAGAGTTACCAAGAAGGTTAAATAAAGATCAGGCCTATTATTGCTGACTCACAAATGCAGCTTAACTGGAGGAAAATTAGTGTCTCTGCTAATCTTTTCTTTTAGTACTAAAGCACTGCATTGGAACAGTCCCTGTTCTACCTTTATTTAACATTTAAAATTTTAAGTATAAATTGTGGAATGTGTGTTTTTTTAGATGATTCTTGGACAGCAGTGTTGGGGTTTTTTGCATGCTTGGTAGATGGTTTGAACGTATTGTAGCTTTCTCTCTCAGTCTTCTTGACCACAAGATTCCCTTGGCCCAATCCTGCAAAAGCCAACACAAGCTTGACTCCTGGTGACCCTCACTGGGCAAATGGCTTTAACGAGCTGCTCAAGGCAGGCTGCACCTCACAAAAGGAGGTTTTGGCATACACCAGTATGGGATGCACCTTCACGCGTTTTGGGTATTGCATTAAATCACAAAGCAAGTCATGACCACAATATGAGTGAGTGGACATTAAGTGCTGGACCCATGTGTCCTGGCAGCAGATTCACCCTCTTGTAAAAGAAGGCTGTACAGGATCTGGCTTACTTCTGTCCTAGTTGGCTCGCACTAGCTCCTGTTACATCCAGTCCATATGTGGTATCCCTCTCAGCAGTATTTGGAAGGGGAGTGTTCCTGGGCATTAATTCACTGCGTGATAACCAGCCAAGAAAAAAGGCTATGAGAGCTGGGCCTGGCATTGCAGTGAAGCGTTACAGGGTGGCACTGCTGCGGCCTCTGCTGCTCCTCCGGGGTGGGAAGGACTGGGAGGAGGAAGGATGGACATGAATCTGATGTATTTGTGTTTTCTTGTTACTCTAGATCTTTGAGGATTATGAAAAACTCCTTCATTCTGAGAATTACGTAACAAAGAGACAATCTTTGAAGGTAAAGTAAAGTTTCTCAGCACTTTCCTTCTAAATTTGAACTCCACGTTATGCAGAATACCAAGATGCATGTGTGGCAATGGAGCAGCCACATGCTTTCTGACAAAAAAAGAAATAAGTGCTTGGGGATGCTGCTCTTACAGTGCACAAGAGCTTGCTTTGACTTTTATTTCCTGGATCTCTGGTGAAGCATTGGGCTGTTTCTATGGAACAAGCACTATCATTTTTCCTCCAACTTCAGATCTGTACTTTGATTCAGAATGTAGTTTAAAATTAACTTGAGAGTAATGTGATAGTCTCTGTCTGGTGCTGCTTGCTGCTACAGCACCAAGTCTGATGTGACCTGCAGATGGGACCAGATAGGTGTGTTAATGTAACATCCACATTAAATGAAGGTGTCTTTGTGGGACAGCTGCACTACACTTGCTTCTGTCCTAGCTGGCTCACACCAGCTCCTATTACACCCAGCCCATATGTGGGATCCCTCTCTTTAGTATTTAGAAGATGAGCATTACTGGGCGTTAAGTAACTCACTGCATGATAACAAGTCTGGTTACATTTTTTTTTTTAAAGGTAGTGACATTGAAACCTCTTAGGCAAGCATTAAAATATGTTGCTGCTTTCTTTAAATTCAAAAGTAATGTAGTGGACTGAAAAAACCTGTGGGTTTTTTTAATTGTCTCTGTAGCTGCTGGGTGAATTGATTCTGGACCGACACAACTTTGCCATCATGACAAAATACATCAGCAAACCAGAAAATCTGAAGCTGATGATGAACTTGCTGCGAGATAAAAGCCCCAACATTCAGTTTGAAGCATTCCACGTGTTCAAGGTGAGCTAGTATGATCTGTAGAGGTGGCAGACTTCCTCTTTTCCTCATAAAAGTGTCTTTCAAGGTGGGCAAGAGAAAGCCCAGAAAATTAAGGCAAAGGTTGGGCTTTACAGTCACGTCTAGTATTTGAGAATGCCTTAATTGAAAACCTTTCTATCACTCAGCCTCTGATTTCTATTTGCCTTCCTTCAGGTGAGATCTTAAGTAGCATCATTTTGGTTTGGGCTGAGGGTAGTCACACAAGTAGCGGTGAGGTGGATGCTACAGCTAACAAAATACACAGCTTCTAGGTCGTATCCAGGGTACCTTCCCCCAACTGTTAGATCTTTTTACCATGTGATTCTGGGTAGATTAAAAAAAGAAGTCCTAAAACTCTACATTAAGGCCAAAAGTAGATGGTGCTAGTGGTGTGCATGAGTACGAACACAATTTGCGTTTAAAGGTATTAAAAAGATTTGGAAAATCTGAGTTTGAAATGAGTTTAATCCTTCTGTCTTTTTGCAGGGATCATTAATGCAGTCTTAAACAATTACCAGGCCCAACCAGTGTGCCTTTTTTTCATGATGATTAATGTTAGTTAGTGAAAAGTTTACTGTTTTCCTATCAAAAAAGTTCTCTGCTCTGGGACAGAGGGTAAGTTGGACTGATATTATGCAAAACTACCTTTAATTTGGAATGAACACATTAATTTCAAGCTATGTAAACAGAGTTGTTAATGATTTTCAGAAGAGGAATATTGAGCCTGTAAGAATATCCTTCCCCAAGATGGTTAAGAAAGATACCAGGTCACACCAAAAGGCATGCTGTTGCAAAAAGGTTACATCACCCTCCACAAATTCAGGGTGACTTGTTGAGTTTTGTACTTCTGCCATTTCTGATTTGGAAAAAAGCTTTCAGATCTTCAGTGTGGATGCTTCAAGGATGTGCAGCTTCTACAAAAAGCTTTTTGATTAAAAAAAAAAAAGCTTCAAGGAGGATTAAAAAAAAAAAAATTCCTTCCCTGAAATAAGCAGCTTGGTAAGCTGTTCCCTTGCTGACTTCCTCCATAGTCAGCTGAACCACTGTGAGTAACTTCTACTCCTCCTCCTTATCAGGAGGTATGTGGCTCCAAGATAAGAGAGCAGTCAGGCATGAAACACTTGCAGCCTTTGAGATGCCTATGGAGGGAAGGGATCAGGGGATTGGGCTCTCTTAGCCGCTCTGTGAATAAATGCCAGATTTTTATGTATGAAACACATGAGTTGCTGTTCCTGAATTAATGATAGGCATGGCCCAGGCCTTGGGAACAGCTGATTTTGCTTATTTTAAGAGGCGTTTGAAAGGATTTGGAATAACTTGAAAGGATTCCAGTGTGCAACCATGTTACGCATTGCTGTTTCTCCCATTCTGCCTTCCTATTCCGCCCTTCCTTTCCTTTTCCAGTATGTTGCGTCCCATTTCCAGTTAGATTGGAGATACTGTAGGCTCAGCCTTGCTTGACCGCTCATGATTGCTACCACGTGGACATAATGCTGAGGCCTTTAGTCCCTTTAGCTCAAAGGGACAAACTCTGTCCTCAGATAGCAACCTCTATGGGATGTTGTTGGTTTTTTCCAGTGGTACCCGTCAGCAGCATTGAAGTGGTGCCGTGGTGTGCCTCACACTATCTCATGTGCATAGTGCTCGTAGTGAGGGAATTGCAGACTCAGAGCAGAACCTGATCAGCTGGAAATTGCTCGTTTATAACCACCAGCAGCAGACTAGAGTAACTCTAGAGGTGCAGCAGAACTCCGCTTTTAGGTCCTCACTGAGGATCTGGGCTAGCTGGATGTAGAAGTGCTCAGCTTCTCCTTGGTGGGGAGGGTAGTTATAGCATGTGTTATAGAAAATTGCATTGTGAATTAGCTTTGAAGAGTGGGTCAGAGAAGAATGTTTTCCTCTGACTTCACCTCTTAAATTGAATTCTAACTTCTTGAGAAGTACTAAAGGAAATCCTTTGATATTTAAGAGAATGGGGGAAAACACTACTGGCTGGTTGTGCCCTGTTCTGCAGTGTTCCTGCCTCCTGTTTCTGGGTTAGTGTCTCTCAGCCTGGTTCTCTTGTCAGCCGTAATAATTCCATACTAATGTAGCTGGGAGAGGAATCTTGTCCTCAGCTTTTAATCTCAGAAACTGTGCCTGCATTTTTTAATTGTGTTTGCAAAATACCTGTGCAGTCCTGGTTGAAATTACAGTAGACTAACCACAGTGATTTGAAATCAAAGGTCTGCTGAGAAGTGGATACTTGCTGCTCTGAGCTGCCAAAAGATTTGGGTTTAAATTACCTGATTTAGATGTGAAATGAAGAAGTGCTTGTTTTTTAAGCATCCAGATTCCAACACTCCCATGCCCCAGCTGACCCGAAAAAAGGCATACGACTTACCTCCCTGAGGCAATTTCTAATTCTTGAGGATTCAAAACTGTAAGACAGAGATGAAAATGATGAGCACCTCTAGTGCAGAAATATTTTGCAGAAGCATTTCGTGGCTGAAAATGCCAGTACCCCTTCAAGCTCTGAGAACATTTCACTCATCCAGGATGATGGATTTCCAGGTGGGAAATTGAAGACAAACAGAGCGCCCACTTGCAGTGCCTCTTTCCATTCTCCGTTGAGGAGATGTTTGATCTTCCTCCTAGCTCCAGCTTCTTCTCTTCCTTTTGCCTGAGCAAAATGGAGCTTCTGCCTTGCGGCACCATCCTAAAGGCCTGTGGCTGCTTTGCAAAGCTGGATGTCCCAGACAATGTATGCATGAGGATTAGCCAGTATTTAATTATCTGGAAAAGCTAACACACCTCACCCCTTTCCTCCTCCTCCATAAATAATCCAATGGGGTCACCTAGAGTTCAGGCTTTGAGAGTCACTGGTTCTTCTCTGCGTTGATTTCAGTGGAGGGGTCTCAGACTTGGGCATGCACACTTTGAGGACCAAATATTGGGAAGGGCTCTCCAGCTCCTGTGATGGATTTGTGACAGTTATTAGTGGAGCCTGCTTTGAGATTGCCTGTAGGGGAGACCAAATCTTTCAGACGTACGTGAATGTGGTGCAGGTATTCCTTTGACCTTACTCATTTACAAATAAAGTCTACTAACAAGCTCTCTTGGCTTTCACGTAAACAATTAGATTATTTTGAGGAAAACACCCTGTAGCGGTGAATTGGGATTATGCAACTTTCTTGTTCTTAAGCAGACATTTAGCAAGATATATTTTACTGTTTAAATCTAAAAATAGAATGGGTACACTGTGTTTTGTGACCTTAGTTTGATTTTTCCGTTCTCTTTCGTGCATATTACAGAGCTACCTCCTACAGCTTGCTCTGCAAATGGTCTCACAGAATTTGACCATACTGACAGTTTCCTCTTGGTACGAAGCTGAAACCATGTCTGTGGGGATGTGTCCTCTCTGTTTCTTAGCTGGAGAGTTTATAGGACAAGAAGTATTATGTGAAGCATTACACTATAAGCAACATGAATTGTAAGGCACCTCTGCGTGCCGTTTCTTGACACAGTAAGATTGTGCGTGACACCAGAGTAAGGCTTAAAATACCTAATCCAGGGTATCCAACCTCTGTAACCACTTTTGCTCTGCTGTAGTCCCAGAGAGTGGTGATGCCTGGTTATTAATCGTAAGGAAACAAAGTCAGATTCTCTAATCAAGTGACCTTGGTATTTGTTTGAAGAAATCCAGTGTATGACTTTTAATGGAGAAGAGAGCAACAGTTCTACTTTGGACAACTTCTGAAGCTTCAGAGTTGATTTTCATTCCAGGCCTTCTGCAAATATTCACAAAGCACAACTGTGCTGAAACGGCTATTTTTAGAGTTGGAATTTTAATAGGAGTACTCTCTTTGTTTTGGCCTCTGTCTCTCTCACATATCTGAATTAAGTGCTCTAGAACACACAACTGAATGTACTTTACAGCTTCCAGTCTGTGCCTTATCTAAGGAATACGTATCTTGAAATCTCATGGGTATGAATGTTTGGCTCTGGCTGAGACTATGGCAGTTCATGCTCTCAGCTCGAGCAGCCCCATGATGCAGCTCCCCACAGCGACCACGGCCTGGCCACTAGGTCAAAGAAACCTTTGTAAAAGACTTGGCGCCTGGGAGTGTTCACCCAGCATGGCAGAGGTTGCAGCTCCTTCCCCAGAGTAGAGGGAGAAGTACCTTGAAGCGGGGACTCCTGGGAGTGACCTGAGGAGGAGGGATCCACAGAAGACAAAAACTTAGGCAGGGTTTAGGGCTCTTATGGCATCAGGGTGCCAGGGTTTAAGAGCAGATGCTTTGCCTCACCTTTATGGAATAGAAAAAATAGTCTTACCTTCCTGGGCAGAAGTACTTAGTGTGGCACTATTGATGTGTGCCGAGTCCCATTTCTTCCACACACTTGCCACATGCGGCATTTTCCACACCACTCGTATAACATCCCCTAATTGGCATGTATGAAGCCTAATGATGGGTCCGGTCTGAATCCTGTCCCAGGCTTTAGCGGGTGTTGTTTCTGGGGGCAAGGGGCTGTAAAGCATCCCCCCAGGACAGAGCGTGCATGTTCCTCATCACGTAATGCGGCAGCTCCCTGCGCAGCCGGACGTGGCCCAGGTTTTCATGTGGGCATGATCTCGGCGGAGATGAATGAACCTGCAGAAGAGCCCCAGGTCTGGAGCCAGCGGCCCCGGGGCTGGGCAAATGGTGGTGCTGCCTGCGCTCGGCCGGACAACATGCCATTCTGTACTGTCAGCGGATGTTTGTTTCCATTCTGGTTTGAACAAGCTTGGAGGGAAACTGGGTGTTTTCCAGTCCTGTCCATCCTTAATTTCTTCTCGCCGGGTAGGGAATAACTCAAGTTATTTATGTTGTTGCACAAGCGCTCGGGCGGTGTTTTGTTGACCAGCCATGGTAACCTCGGTGCGAGCCAGATGTGGGAGCTCCTCCCGGGGTGGCCGGGGGTGCGCTGCACGTGTGTTCCCACCACCGGCCCTCCACCCCATCTGCCCCTCCTGCCTGGCGCCCGCAGAGCCTGCATCTCCGCGGCATCCTGAGGTCCCTGGGAAGAGCTTGTCACCGCTGGCCTTTACAACCGGCCTTAAGTTTCCTGTCGTCAGCTGGCACGTAAGGCAGAGAAAAATGTTAAAGAAACAGTGTCGCAGCATAGGGGGTCGTGTTCAGAGCTGGAAAACTCTGTGGCTTTAGGCGTTACAGGAGGAAAAATCGGAGCGCAGCTAGGTTTATCCTTAAAAACTACTATTTGAGAAGATCAGTAAGCCCACAGTGCTGGGCTGGCTGCGCCAGGTGAGTGTCAGCATCTCGCATCGCCTCCCTGCATCGCCACCCTCCTCTGCTCAGCGAGGGCAGTGAAGGTGCACCACGGTGCTCCTGCTCCTGGAAATCTCCACGCTCCCATGAATGGATTAGGCAGAGGGAAGTGGAGCCTCTGACATATTTTTCCAAACCAAAACAAAGCTGGCAAGTCTAATTTTAGGCCTGGATTAGTATGGAAATGATACCAATACCGACACAAAGCTTTTCCGTTCTCCTGATAATTCATTTCTGTGTATTTAAGTCTTGCATGTGGAAGAGGCTGAGAATTGGTAGCTCGCTCTCAACAGCTGGGTTTACAATCTAAAGCTTTTATCAACAAAGAGCAAAATTAAAGGGAAGTGATACCACACACAGACATAACTTTGCTTCAGTTTGCTGTTGAACCAACACATTTGTAACTTGCCTCTCTCTGCCTTGGGACAAGGTGTGTAGCAGCAGAGTATCTGCCTGCCAGCCTTCAGCTGACCTGTTAGAAAATAACTTATGGGGATGTTGTGACTGATGTTCCCCCCCCTTCTCTCTCTCTGTGTGTGTCTCGCTGTGCCTGGTTTTGTTTGCATCTTAGGTTTTTGTGGCCAGTCCAAACAAAACACAGCCTATTGTGGAGATCCTGTTGAAAAACCAACCCAAGCTAATTGAGTTTCTGAGCAATTTCCAGAAAGAGAGGACGGATGACGAACAATTCACTGATGAGAAGAACTACCTGATTAAGCAAATCCGAGACTTGAAAAAGCCAACGGCATGAAGAACTCTCGTTTTCCACTGTAGGCATTAATCTCATTTATTAAGTTCCTCTGTGTCCCTTAAACACCACAGTAGTGCTTGAGAAGGCACAGCAAGTGCCTGGTTTTTATTTTGTCTTTGTTCCTAGATGTCAAGAGTATAGGGGTTTTACATGAAAACTAAAAAAAACCAAAAATCTAGAATAATATATTATTTTTAGTCAAGACTATAATTATTTATGTCAGTTTAGAATCTCGCTGTAATAGAAGCTGGTTTGACGGATTTTCATTTGTGCTCAAGAAGAATGAACCTCTTTGCTTAACTTTATCAGCAAACTCAAGCTGTTGGTGAGTGCACAGAGTAGGTCTTCTGAGGACCGTAACGTTGTTCCTTTGCACCTGTAGCTGCGACTTTGTTCTAGTGCTGCACATACACAAGACTGTGAAAGAGTACGTTTGTCTCTGGAGTTAGCTGCACTTACAGATCGGGTTCTTTAGACAAAACAGTGGGAGATGAAAGAGCAGTTAAAGGTCACGTTTTTGCTTTATTTTTGTGTTCTTTCATCTTTAAGTTTTCTTTTTCCCTGGATCAGAGGTTTTCTATTCAGTGCTAGGGAATGGATGAAGACATCAGCCAGATGAGCTGTTTCTGCCTGCCTCCCATTTTCCTTTAAGTGATCGACCTTGTGCTAGAGCACAGGCTATTCCCACCAGCTCCCAAGCAGACTGATGAGGAGCAGCCCCAGGTACGCAGTGCCCACCTACCCCTCAGTGGGAAGAAGGCAAGAGCAACCCCCCTCCATCAAGGCCCACACTGTATTGCTAATAAAGCGATCCCGCACCTACTAAAATCAGCAAGAAGCTGTCCCCGCTTTCAGTGGGAATAATACTGGGTGGTGGCCGGAGCGACGTGGCTGAATCGTGCCAAGCGCTGAGCCCCAGCACCAGTGCGAGAGGAGGGTGCTCAGCGTCTTCCCATCCGGATTCGAATCCCGGCTGTGCAAGGCGGGGTTGAGCCAGGTTCAGCAAGGGGATGCTGGAATGGCCTCAGCCTGAACGTCCCCGAGTCTGCAGGCGACTGAGAGCTGAGAGCATTTAGTGGATACCTAAATGAAGCGTGGGAGGCCGTTTAGCAGCCCCAGGCACCAAAGGCTACGTGTAGTCTGGCGTTTTTCAATCCTTGTTCATCCCGATGTGAATTCAGGTTCTGCGTTGAAGTTGTAGAAGGGGAAATCGCTGCACTGTTAATGTTTTAAGTTTAATAAGCTCTGTGGTCCAAACAGTGTTTCCCAGGTGTGTCTGAAGAGTTTTGGGGGGTCTTCTGTTTTCTAGCGGGAAATGAAAATGTTACTCTGATGCTTTATTAGGAAGTGGAGTTTGAGAGCAGGGAGTGGAAATTTCTTGAATTTTTCTGGACAGCTTAAGTTCTGAGTTTTCCTATTTGTTGTAAGACAGTTATCCAGCTAAAACTCTAGCTAATGCTTCAGATAAAAAGGTGACGATGAATTGTAAAAATAGAACAAGACTTTTTCCTTTGTAAAACTGTTGTATATTGGGGTGACTGATACTTTAATTTATGTGCTTTAGAAAAAGGATGAAATGGAACAGATTGCGGACTCATGGTTTTTTCAGATGTCAGATTTACACAACAAATGCACATCTTAGTTGCCTGGAGTTAAAAAAAAAAAATATTTACAAGTTATTAAAGGCATGATTGCTGATCACCCTTTATTTCTATCTCTGTTTTTTTCCTCTTGCTTTTCTGGAGAGCCAGACTCCACACAGCACTAAATTCTTTCTCTCCTTTGCCAACCCGTTTCAGCAGATGGAGAGAGAGAGAGAGATGAGCACTTTTCTTCAGAGTTAATGCACTCTGCGAGCATCAGATCTGCAGCCCTGGCTGGGAGGGGGCCTGGCAACCCAGGCTGCAGCCCAGCTTAGCCCGACCGCGATCCTCACCCCCAGCCCCGCGGGCAGCGCTCACTGTCAGGGGTAGCTTGTGGGTGGGTAAAGGACCGTCTCCAGAATCACAGTCCTCAGAGCTAGACATTGAGGTCCGATCCTCTGAGATTGGGAGCCTGAAACCAAAGGGCACTTGGCTGTGCTCTGAGCTCCCGGGGTGGGGCTGTCTCCAGGGCTGGATTAACACAGACACACGTGTCCATTGCCTCAGCCTCCGGAGTCACATGAGAGCATCGGGCTTCCAGCCCGCGCTCGGAAAAAGTGTCTAATGGTGTATTGCTGGGGAATGCTTGCCCTTGGCACTGTGAGCATAACCCGTAAGAAGTGCCCTGCGCATCTGTGGAAATAAAGAGGGTGGTCAGCACTGCGAGCCGCTCTTGTCTGCACAGTCTGGCCACAGAAGAGCAGTTGAAGACATCAAAGCCTGGCTGTAATACGAGGAGTGAGGTTACACCCACAGCCCGGTGTTTGCACAGGCAGAAACGTGGCAGGCCAAGAAGGAACAGAGCGATGGGCCCTATCCCTGCAAAGGCAGCCTCTTCCAGTGCGAGCAGCCAGCAGGCTGCAGGGCTAAGTGGTAAGGAGGGCTTGTGAAAAAGCGGGGTGTGTGCATGTGTGTCTGCAAGAGAGGGGAAAAAAAGGAGTGGTCTTACAGTAAAATGGCATGTGCCAGGTCCCTGGCAGCTTATCAAGAAGCCGACCCTGAAGTAAATATTGCCAACACACCTCAAAGTAATTGTCTTCCCCAAGCTCAACTTGCTTAGGTCGTCAAAAGAAGAAACAACAAAAGAAAGGGCGAAGATGAAATTAAGCACCATAATATTTCACAGCAGGTGGGGACACATCCCTAATTAAATGAAAATTAGGTCTTTTCTAATGCAACTTTGAAATAACGATAGAACTTCCAATTTCCTTCGGTGTATTCAGTCAAGGTGGTTCTTCTGCCTAAGCGACTGCTCTCACCAGGAACTCACAATTTCTCCGAAATTAGTATCTGGGGGAGCTGTGTGATTGCAGGACACAGTTGATCAGAGTGAGGACAGGGAAGAAGATTACAGTCTTCTGGAGAGAGAAAGAAGCTGGAGGATGCTTGGGCTGCAGCCTCTCCATTCTAGTCCCCGCCCAGCATTCAAGGGGGGGGGATGGATCATACGGATCAATCTCTGCCAAGATGCGATGTGTGATCCTGCACATAAAACCTTATTTGATATGGCAGAGTGCCAGGAATCTTTGAACCATAAACTTCTGTCCTGGGATTTGGGCAGCTTGTGCCACTAAGAGAAATGAGATTAGAAGCGGCAACAGCCTCCCTTTCTTGTAATGGCAGGTACGCCAGCAGGTGTGAACCCGGGGGGAGGATGCAGGGCTCTGGCCTTCAAGAAACATGGGCATTAAGACCGCTTGAGCCTCTTAATCTGCATGCTCCGGGGACAAGATCAGATGAGAAGGAAAGAATGACTTGGACCTTGTAATCTAATGATAAAAGCACTCACATGAAGGAGAGAGGAGATCTGGATCCCATTTGTTCTCTAGTGCGTGCTTTGCCTTTGTCTATGAAATTGGAGCGGGGCTAGGAGAACCCAGGCCTCTTTCCAAAGGGTGCAGTGACATTTGGTCAGTAGAGAGGCTTTTTCTCTGGGCCAACAAATGCTTCATTTTTCTGTCTGAAGTAGCAGCACTTCAACATTTTCGCTGGAAGCACCTTCCTGCAGGACGTCTTATGCCTGGTGATGAAGGCTGTTGGGAGGCAGAGGGGATATGTGTTTTGGTCTCTGTGACATGAAAGGGAATTGTACCTAGCTCTCCCCCTTCTTGACTAAGCACTCTTGCATAAAAATACAGGTTTCCATGGCCTTCCACTGGTTTTGGACTTGCATTTTGGCACCTGCCACTTTCCCTGTGTGGACCTCACACCTTTGCCTTGAGCATCACCCACTGGACTTGTACACACTGCCTGCAGCTGAACAGCATCAAGCAGCTGAGGACTACATCAACCATAAGGATTTGTTGCATTTACTGCCAAGCAGTGATCTGAAAGCCCATTTCATAGCTCTTAATGCTGATGAACCTAAAGTGGCCGGTTGCTTTCCTGCCAGAGCAGATAGCTGGCAGAAATTCTGCTGATCTGCAGCACTCCTGGGGTCAGAGCAGGAGACACTCGTTGATGCTTGGTGATGAATGCAGGCTCCTACGGGCCTTCACTGCTGGAGCCTAAGTCCTGGAGCTCCTGGTTTATATCAGTTTTTGGCATAAAAGCAAGCCCAGTCTCAGGAATTGACACATTCCTCCTTCTGGCCAGCACCTTAAGAGAGAGCTCAGCCAGTCTTTCTACCTGTGCAGAGCAAATCCAGGGCTCCTCTCCCACTGAGCGACAAGCTGAGCAAGCTATGGAGTTACTGAGGCCCTGTGCACCTGTATTCCATACACACATCCCAAGTGGAGCTGCACGAGCTGGTATGACTGGGCGTGAGGTGTCCCAGGGCTTCTAGCGGGAGGTCCAGCCCCATAGAAAGAGAGGGAATCCCGCTGGTGAGAGCCGCTGTGGCCTGGGCAAGTGAAGGAGCTGAAGTCACTGCCGCCCCAGCCCATGCCGAAGGGGAGCCTTGCCTCCAGCAAAGGCTGGGATCCCTCAGGCTGGGATCCCGCAGCCTGTGCTGTGTGAGGCCACAAGGTAGCAGCAGTCCAAGCCAGCTCTGAGCATGGCTGGTGCTAGGCAGGCAACGTGGGACCAAGGCTGAGGGAAAACCCAGGTCGAAGGCTAGCAGTTTTGGCCGTGTGGTTCAGCTGTAAGCCAAGCATCTCACAGGGCTGTGACTTGGCCCGGCCCCCCCGAGAGCCCCAGGGAGAGGCAGGCGGCGAGCCCAGCCCTCCTGACTCACGGTCCTGCGCCGCAGCGCCTGCCTCGCGCTGGCCCCTCTTTCCCGGAGTGCCAGAAAGGAGGAAAAACAACCAAACCCCTTCCTATGGCATCGCTTGTAAGTGGCTTTGCAAAGCCAGAGTAAAAATAACCTTTTCCACCTCAGGCTGTGTCACAGCGCGAGTGGCAGGAGCGTGGGGAAAGCCTGTGCCCGGGGTGCCGCACCAGCTCGGCTCTGGCCAAGCCATGGCCGTGCCCAGCCGTGCCACAGCAGGGAGGGGGCTCCCCCCAACACCCACACCTATCTGGCTCAGTATTGACTGGGGTACTGGGGACGGGAACAGGGGGTGTCCCAGCACACGCTGTGAGACCGCGTTCTGCCTTGCATCGTGCAGCTGAATTGTAATTCACCATTGCTACAAGAGTCCCGTGGCTGGTTTTTGTCGCCGTATGGCACCGGTGATGGCTGGGAGGACTTTGCTACTGCATCTCAGCCCCAGGAAAGCTTGGCGCTGCCCTGGCCATCTGTGAGACTTGGGATATCGGCTGTGGTGCAGCACATGAGGTGTGGCTCAGGTGCATGTCCCGTGCCACCTCAACCTCTTCCCTCCCTTGGCGTGCCTGTTTTGCTTCTTGCTAGTGCTGCTTGTAGGGGCTATGAGCCTCTCCCCCATATACAGATTTGGGAACGAAGCCCCATTGTTCTATGGCCAAACGTGTAACCCACTTGTCTTAACCGCCAC